GTGTGTATGTGATGTATGTGTGTGCTCAAAATATCCTCTGAAATATAGACAGACTCAAGCCATCTTGTTTTTAAATGAATGGAGTCCCACTACCTATTGCTTTAGTGTGGATCCCTTCCCTATGTAGCTCCCATGCCAATGAGCTAATGCCTATTTGCTTGACATTGTGGTTTTGTACACAGTGATGAGTCTACTGGGCTGAACTTCCTTCATCTCCCGATAATCTGACCTGAGCTTGGTATCTTAGAGCTGATCCTTTGGACCTGCCAGTAATACCAAATAATCCCATCACTCAAAGAATGTTTTGGCAGTATGTATATTGCTCCTTACTTTGATTTAGAACGATTGGTAATTTAAAATTTTTAAATTGCCCTACGTACGTGTTGTCTTAATTCTTCTTGCAAATTTACTAATGAAATTGTTTTTGTCCAATAGATGTGTTTCAAAAATATGAAAAGATTCAGAGTCTTTTCTAGAATTTTTATTACTTTATTTCTGGGAAGGGAGCTTGGAAACGCATGCGTACCGTGAGATGTATGTGGAGGCCAGAGGACAACCTTCAGGGCTAGCTTCTCTCCTTCCTCCAATCAGGTCGTCTGGCTTACGTGCCATGCCATTATCTACGAAACCATCCCATCAGCCTTGGGGTCTTCTAAGAAGACGAAAGAGCAACGTCTCCCTACAGTCACAAGTGGCAAGTGACGAATGGTCACTCCAGTCACAAGCTATGCACCTGCAGTCCCAGCTGCTTGGGAGATGGAGGGCACGGGATTTCTTGAGCCTCTGAGTTGGATGACATCATAGGGCTCTGTATCAAATAAACCAACAAATAAATAGATACATGAGATATCTGAAGAAGATAAGACTGGGCCAGGTCAGGCTAATGTCCTGTATGAGGGAAGGCAGAAGCTCTTCAGGGGACAGGGAGATGACATGTTGGTATGCCTGAGACTACCTGCACTCTACATTGTTCTAAGTACCTAAACGTTTACCGATGTTTTCTCTCAGTGAGCTAAGAATTTCACACTACCTGAAGCTGCGTCCACTTACTTAAAGATTATTTTATGTATATGAGTGTTTGCCACAGGTATGTATATAGTCCATACTTGTACCTGGTCCTTAGGGAGGCAAAAGAGGGCATCAGATGATCTACTGAGACTAGATTCACAGACAGTTGTGAGGCTGGGTAAGTTGGGGTGCTGGGAACCAAACCCAGGTCCTCTGGAAAAACAGCAAGTACTATTAACTGCTGAACCATCTTTCTGTCTCTGAATTTACCTTTGAGAACCAATCAGTTTACTTAGAATACTCCAAATTATTTCTGTTTCATTTTTTACTGAGAAATCTGAAAAAAATTACCAGAAATAGGAACTGATCTGTAAGTACATTAAGTGCCAAAGTAACAGAACAAAGGAAAATGATTCTGAACTCTTTTCCATGTTTAGATATGTTCCAAAATTTAAAATAACAAAAATGTAAAAGGCTAAAATAGTTACAGAGAAGATAGATTGAACTCCGGTGTTCTGGCAAGGCTCAGGTGCCTGATGTCACCGTGGCTCAAAGAGCTGCTATGCTTCCTGTCAGGCCTCCCACACCACTCCACTTGTCCCCACTGCAGAGCTGAGTAAGCCATGCCAGGGACAGGCCCCAAGAGATATGCTGACGTGCAAAATGAATTGACTGTTTCAGTACCAGAGAGCCAAGGCTTCTTCCACTCTCCCTTCAAAATGTGTGAAGGAAAATGTTCAGGCATGCTGAGAACCAGTTCAAGGCTCAAATCGCAACCTAGGCTCTTTCATCAAATTTCCTCGCCTCCTCTAACCGCGTAGCATTTGGTAGATCAGAGTTCCTGCCCATTCACCTAATAGATGCACTGTGACATTAAGGTGCTTGTGAATGTGTAGATTATGGTAATTATGCCAATCGAGTCATTACCACTTGGCATTAAGCAAGTTCCCAAATATCATCTTTGTGTTGTTAATTAAGCTTTTACTATGGAAATTAAAAATACACAAAATATAAAAGATAGTATAATATGGCCCCCTCCATCTACTTACTCAAGCAAAAGAGATACGGGTGTTCATCAAGTTGTTAATTTTGGTTCATTCATGTTTTTATACTTTTTCTCTATGTTTTAATACAGAATTAACACAATGTCTAGAGATGAGTTCCTGGCTGGGCAGGCTATCTGGGGCAAAAAGTGAAAAGAGGTGATTGTTATCATGGAGGAATATATTTTATGTTGTATTTTATCTATTAGCTTTTTAGGTTAGCACACAAAGTAATGGATTTCATCATGGAAATGTGTTATTTTATGAGAAAGCAAACCGGGGTCAGTGAGACTGTTTAGCAGGTAAAGGCACCTGCAGCCAAGCCTGACATCATGAGTTCAATCCCCAGGACACTCATGGTGAAAGAAGAGAACCAACTCTGATCTCCAAACATGTGTAGTAGCATGTGCACACATAAATACATACACAAGAGTAGTAAGTTAATTAACATTTAATTTTAAAAAGCTGATTTAGGGGGAAGAGACTCACAGGGCCCTGCCCTGAGTATTAATACACAGTCAGTGGTTGATAGTTCCTCCTGTGATATAACCACTGGTAAGGTGTTCATGCTTCCATTAATAAAAATCCTAATGAAACTCATTAGATTGTAGCACAAGTTCTAAAAGGTCTTAATAATAAAAGCCCGGAGTCAGATATGGGGGGAAATGCTGAGAGATCAGAAAAAAGAAGGAGCCAAACCACAGCCACCTTACCTAGTCAACTTCCAGGCCAAAAAGAGAGTGAGTGTCTGTCTCCATCTGCCTTATTACTTTCTCTTTCCATCCAGCCATATCACCTGCTGTCTATACAGACCTCCAGACCTCTATGGTTAGCTAGTGGCTAGCTCCACCCTCTGATCTTAAGGCAAGCTTTATTTGTACAAACAAGCTAAGCTCACCACATTAATTAGATCACACATACATACATACTATACACACACACGGCACAAAAGCAGAAAGGGGTCAGGAGGGGTGGATATCATATAACTACATTGTGAAAGCATCATAATGAAACCTGTTATGTATAATTAGTATACAATACTAGAAAACATTATTAAATGTGCCAGCACACTTCCTAAATGTCCTCACTGTCTTCCAGTTTTGAGCCATCTCAAGTGGAAGAGTATTGTGCCTAAGACCACAGTGAGGGATTTCCAGAAGTTTGAGAAAGACTCTCAACCCAGCACTCAGGAGGTGGAGGCAGGAAGATCTCTGTGACTTCAAAGCCAGACTGGGTTTGTTTGTTTGGTTGGTTGGTTGGCTTGGTTTTGAGACAGGGATTCTCGTGGAGCCTCAACTGTCATGACTATAACTCAAGTTTCTATCACACACAACCTTCCTGAGCGGGACTGCTTGGTACCAGCAAGTCTAGGAAAGAATGTTTGTCCCAGGACAATGTATGCGTTACCTTTAACACCTCCCCATTTCTCTGCCTTCTATTTAACTTGGTCTGAGTTGGATGCTGATGTCAGCATGCTGGCCTGGGCATCAGGGATGGCGAGGAGACCATAATTTCCTGTACTCCATGCCCTGTGGACTCTCTGCAGCTCACATTGTGAAAATTTAGTGTGACTGCAGCTATTCTAGGACAGCACAGATCAGGGTACACCTATATGAAAACATAATAGAATAACTTATTGTAGTGGTATTTCAACTGTATCTTAATAAATAAAGACTAACTGAAGATCTGAGAGTAAAACAGACCCACTGGACTGCCTTATAGACCAGGTTATGACAACACCCAACTTTAATATCAGTAGCCATAATGACAAACACCTTTAATCCCAGTTGCCATAGAAACCGGTCAGTGCATGCTTTAAATCACAGTGGTGCATGACTTTAAACCCAGCCCTAGAGAGGATTGTAAAACAGGAAGAAACAGTTCTAAACACACAGTCTCATTCTAAGATTCCTAGAGACAGGGCTGCCGTTTTCGTCTGAGGTTGAGGAAAGAGCTAGTGGCTGGCTGTTTTGCTTCTCAGATCTTCAGTTTCTGACCCTGACTTTTTATTAATCATGCTTCGTTTTATTAAATGGGGAGGGGAGTGAATCAATACCATTGGGTTCCTTTGATTACTGTGTTGGACTCTAGCGTCCAAACACCGAGGAGGAGTCGCCCCCAGAGACCACCTCATACACCACAGCCGATGCAAAAGCATGAGGATTTTATTAATTCTGTCATGACAGGGTCCCCCGGCATTCGGGAAGCCGAGGGACCTCGAATAGCTGGTACAGTCTACTTTTAAAGGGGCCACAGAAGCAAGGGGGTTGTTCTTTGACTATTCTGATTGGCTTATTTGAAAGGGCTATTACCAATAATTGACTGGAGAGCTGTTGCCAGATCAGATGAGGTAAGAGGTCATTTTGACCCCGTTTCCCAGGGGACCGAACCAAAGCATACATATTGTTCAGGAACTGAGTACTGTGTGAGTGTAGCTGTTAGGTCCTTGGTTCCCAGGGGAGGAGGGGAAGCACTATGGCACAGAGGCTGAGAGGATTCAGAATTGTCAAAAATGGCTTCAGGATTGTCTTAAAGTCTTACAACTGTGACTTCAGCAGGAAGGAATAGCATGTCTGTCTCTCCACTGACCCAAGAAGAGGCCAGTACTCTGCTGGAAGGCTCGGGATCTTTTTATATCCACCTAACTCCTCAAGAGAAGTAAATACCTGCTGCGAATCAGTCCTTGGATGAGGAATAGGCTGGGCCACCTCTGAAAGGGACAAGGGGGAACAGGGGCTTTGGCTTAAAGGAGCAATGCCTATTTATACCCCACCCTAAGTTGCATGCCCCAGCGGACAACCTCTAACAAGCAAGGGTAAGTGGCAATCGCCACGACCTGGAGAACAGGATCGTTTCTCAGGGTTACCATGACAAAGTCTCATACACTGGGTAACTTAAAACTACAGAAACATACCGTCTCTCAGTTGTGGAGGGCAAGTCCCAAATCAAGTCAGCAGCAAGGACTTTCTCCCTATAATGCGGAATGGGTGTCCTTCCTCCGGCAAGGTGTCAGGCGCACTTAACAGAAGTGTGACGCTAATATCTGCCTGTAGCCATGAGGCGTTCTTCCCAGCTCTGTCTACACAGGAACCTCTTCTCACGAGGACAGCAGACCTACTGGATTAGAGCTAGGGTGTTTATTTTTTATTTATTTTATTTTTTTTTTTTTAGGGTGTTTAAAATAGAAAATTTCCCCTGAAGCTTTGCGTGTTGGAGACTCGGTCCTCGGTACCGCAGTGATCAGCGGTAGGTCTGTCCTGGGAGGTGAGTGGGTCAGAGGGTGTTCACATCATCAGTGAGACTGGAGGTGCGGGCTTGTAAAATGTATCTTTTTAATTTATGTAAATATAATTATGTAAATTTATATTATAAATTTATATTATATAAATTTAATTTATATATTTATAAATACATAATTTCCCTCCCCTGTCCTCTCTCCAACCACGCCCATTTGATCCATGGCCTCTTATATTTTAATTGTTACACACACACACACACACACAAACTCACACACATTTGTGCAGCCTGCTAAGTCCATTTAGTTTTGCTTGCATGTACATTTTTTTAAGGGCTTATCACTTGGTGCTGGATAACCATTTAGAGTTCTCATTACTAGGGAAGGCGAATTGTCCATCTGTCAGAAGTTCTTACATCACCTATAGCTCTTCATCTAGGGCCAGGGCCCTGCACGATTTTCCCATGCACCTTTGCGTGTCAACTGTGTTGTTGTTGTGCAGGTCTTGCTTAAGCAGCCATACTGTTTAGATTTCATCGGGACGTGGCTCCTCTGTCATATCTGGAAGACTCAAATTTTCAGCAAACTTCCTGTTCCTCTGGCTCTTACAATCCTTATCTTTCCTGGCGGTTCAAGAACCAGTAAGAGTTGTGTTTTGATGTGTCAACCAGGGCTGGGCAGCCTGTGCTCAGTTGATTTCTAAATTGTGACTAGCTGTGAACCTTTAGGAAGCTTGCCTGCAGGTAATTGTTGTGTTTCAGAGGCACCACAGTTAGGTAGGGATATTGGATTCTTTCCTCCCTTGGCAGCTTGCATGGAAGCTTCCAGTATTATGAAAGTCAGTCCTCCGGAAGGAGGCATTTGGGTAAGATCCAGCTACATACTTCTGCGTCCTAGGTCTGAAATGCGTGGTGTCTTCAGCAATAGGGACTTACCTTCAACTTCTGGGTGACAACTGAGAGCCTACATTGTTTGGGAAGCTCTCACGGTCCTCTTTCTCATGCCTGGTACTGCAAATTTTGTTAGATAGGTATTTTGTTATATATATATATATGTATATTCATATATGGGATGTGCATATATGCATATGTGTATATACACATGTGTATATAGGGTGTATATGTGTATATTCATACAATTATATGTATTATATGTTATTTTAGTAAATATAAAATAATATGAAGTTGGGTATAGTGATACATATCTTTAATTCCAGCAGTCAGGAGGCAGGGGTGGATCTCTGTGTGTTCCAGGACAGTCTTGGTCTATATAGTGAGTTCCAGGATAGCCAAGGCTACAAAGAGAGACACACCCTGCTTTCTCTCTCTCTCTCTCTCTCTCCCTCTCTCTCGCCCTCTCTCTCTCTCTCTCTCTCTTTCTCTCTGTCACTCTCTCCCAATTCAAGCGCCTGCCTCATTTTTCCCATTTCTCCCTTCACCTATATTCTGCTGCTCCTTCTCCCTCCCTCGATGGTCCCTTTTTTTCTTTCCTCATTATTCACTCACACCCGAAGGTTTGCAGCTAGGAGCCATGGCTTGTCAGGTAGATCCTGTCCTCGGCTCCTGACTGCCTCCTCACTTCCACACATGAACAGCTTTCTTCACGACATGCCCCTACCACCATGATAGTCTGTGGAACCTCAGGCCCAAAAAAATGGAGCCAGCAGAATTTGAAATGAAACCTGTGATAGGCAGAGACAAAATAGACATCACCACCATCACCACCCATATATGTGTGTTTGTGTGTGTGCATGCATGTATGTACGTACGTATGTATATATGTATGTGGGATTCTTGGGATCTGAACTCTAGTCTTCCCAATTTCACCACAAGTGCTCTCTTTAGCCACTGATCCATCTTCCCAGCCCCCTTATTTATAATTTTTGGGAAGAAATTATTTCCTCACTGGTCTCCATAGGCAGAAAGGGAGAGCTAGAAAAACACTCAGTGTGTAACTCCCCAAGGGGCTAAGGCTAGGCAAAGCTGGATATTTTTTCTTCCTAGTTATGCAAAAAAAAAATCTTTTTTAAATGCTCCATTTCTGCTCAGATTCATTTGCTATCACCACTATGATTTTGCTTAGTGTTAAAGCTAAAAATCTGTCTACAATTTTTAAGTTCCATAAATAGCAGCCTCCCCCTGAGATCGCAAATGGAAACCCGCGTATACTGTTCTGTCATCAAGACATCTTGACACAGATGCACAGATGAAAAGCCCAAGAAATAAGGTAAAATAGGCAGACTATATCTATACATGTTATACACTTAACAATGTAACTAAATTATCAACAAATTTTTGTCAAACCACCAAGAGATAAGGCTGTGGGACATTGACCTTTGCAGCCATATCAAATACAAATGTATTGGTCAGTGGTAGTAATTGTGTTGACTAGTTTTATATGAACTTGACAGAAGCTGGAATCATCTGAGAGGAGGAAGCCTCAATTAAGAAAATGCCTCCATAATACTGGGCTGTGGGTAATCCCGTAGGTCATTTTCTTAATTAGTGATTGATGAAGAGGGTCCAACCCATTGTGGGTGGTGCCACCTCTGGGCTGGTGGTCCTGGGTTCTATAAGAAAGCAGGCTGAGCAAACCAAGAGGAGCAAGTCAGTAAGCAGCATCCCCCATGGCCTCTGCATCAGCTGCTGCCTCAAGGTTCCTGCCCTGCTTGAATTCCTGGACTGACTTCCGTGATAATGAATCAATGAAATGAATGGAACCAAGTCCTGTGTTCAAGGAGATAAGCAGATTAAGAAAGGGGAAAAAAAGGAGTGGTGACCTTAGGGCATGATCCCACCCAGCTAAATTTTCTACTTGTAAAAAGGAATTAAAGAATAGTGTAGGCAGTGAAGGGAATCATGGGGAAAAAAGCTGGGAAAGATGTAATTGAAGGAGAGGACCATGTTCCAGTCCCAGCAAACAGCAGAATTTGGCAGCTCTGACTTTAGAACTTCGTTCTGACTTTAGATTCAAGGACAGAAGAAAGTGGTTATGGAATATTCCTTTATGACTACGGAAAGCTGCTGAGTCCAGGTATGTGTTGGGGTATCCCTCAATGGAGGCTTAGAAAAGCTATTGTATAAACCTGTGAAGAAGAAGCCTGGATTGTTTTGGAGACCCCAAGATGTTAGAGATGCCAGCACCATGGGATACTTGCCAAGGAGAGGTACTAACAGGGAGTGGAAGCAGCCCAAGAGAAAGAAGAGTGTTGCAGTCAGCAAAGCTGAAAGGAGCTGGAGGTCTGTTTGGCATCAAACATGGAGAGTTTGGAGTTTGCCGAGCTGATTTTCAGTCTTGTTTTGGTCCAGTATTTCCTCACCAGGCTCCCTTCCATACTTTTTGAAATGGTACTGTATATCCTTTATCACGATATGCTGGAAATATGTGATCTTCTTTTTAATTTTGATTTTACAAGAGATTACAGTTAAGAGATTGCATGAATCTCCAAAGAGACTTTGAATTGTAGACTTTTAAATAAGTTTAAGACTGTTATAGACTATGGGGACTTTTAAAGTTGGACTGAATGTTAGCATCCAGACACACCTTGGCCCCTCATCCTTGAGGGCCTGGCAGAGGCAGAGTGGCCACCCCTGCACACAGGACAGACAGTACCCTGACTCTGTAGGCAGGTGCAAAGATTGTTTTAAGAGATAAGCTTCGCCTATTCCCAGTCTCTTTCTGTCATTTCTCCGAGGAGGCAGGTCTCTGTCTCTCTCTCTCTTTCTTCTCTCTCTCCTCACTCCCCTCCATTCCCAATAAACTTCCTTCCCATGTAAGCTCTGTCTGATAGCATGTTTGTTTCCCCTCCATGGGATCAGTGGTCCCAACTCACACCACATATCATTACACTGAAGGCATTTTTTTTTTTTTGCCACTGAAACAGCATGACAAGTAGGTGGCCAGTAAAAACTAAACTTTTTAACTTGTAAGGGAATTTGATTTATAGATGGAGACTGAGGATCTATTTGTAGTGTTGTTTTTCCTATGAGAAGATTGGTTCCCAGTTCCAGCTCAGAGTTACATAGACAAGTCTATAGTGGTATTAATCAGCTCGAGTTTGTTTTGGGGTTTTGAATTTTCCCCTAACTCAAAGCAGCAGGAAAAAAAGACACCTCTGATGTGGGAGGTGTTGTATGCTGTGAATATGTTTTATTGCCACTGGTTAATAAAGAAGCTGCCTTTGGCCAATGGCTTAACAGAGTAAAGCCAGGCTGAAAGAGATCTATAGAGAGAGCAAGTGGAGTCAGAGCAAAGCCATGTAGCCACCCACAGGAGGCAGATCCTCCACTGGAGCCCACCAGAACCTTGCTGGTAAAAGATTAATAGAAATGGGTTAATTTAAAATATAGGTTAGCCAGAAATATGCTTAATCTATTGGCCAAACAGTATAGCAGTTAATACAGATTTCTGTGTGATTATTTCGGATGTCTTGGCGGCTGGGAAACCAACAAACAGCTTCGGGCAACAAGCGGCCTCCCTCCAACAACACGCCTCTAGATAAAAATATAATACGCATACTCCCCTAGGTAACAGCTCCCAAAACATCAAAGTGCTGTTAGTGTCCTGGAGAATGACTTAACTAAGAAATGGGATAAAGGCCAGTGTCCATATTCCCCTGAAGCTTTTGTCCATGCTTGTGGTGGTTTAAATGAAAATGGCCCCAGAGACTCACAGGGAGTGGCACTATTAGGAGCCGTGGTCTTGCTGGATGGAGTAGGTGTGGCCTTCTTGGGGAAAGTGTGCCACTGGGGGAAAGCTTCGAGGTTTCAAGTTTTCAAGCCAGGCCCAATGTCTCTCTCTTCTTGCTGCCTGTGATGTGGATGTAGAACTATCAGCTCTGTTGTCAGCATCATGTCTGCCTGCGTGCCACCATGGCAACAATGAACTAAGCTTCTGAACCTACAAGCCAACCCCAGTGAAATGTTTTTGCTTTATACGAGTTGTTGTGGTCATGGTGTCTCTTCACAGCAGTAAAACCCTAACTAACAGTATCTTATATCTGCGCCACGTGAAATACCTTTAAGAAGAGTGAAATAATTTGTTGTGCAAACCAGGCCCTTTCAGGATTTAAAGAGATTTCTGTTTATGTCAATTTGATGGGACCATAGGTAAAATATTAGAGATGAGGAATATAGCATGGGCTATGAAATTTTTATGTTATGAATTAGTATGATGTGGTTTCCCAATGGCTGGTTTCTTCATATTGTTGTAAAAGTAAAGAAAAAGGTTTCACTAAAGTGACATGTTTGGTCTCCAGAGATTGCCCACAAATAATATTTGGTAAGCATTGAGTAGCAAAGATGACTATGACCCTAGGTAATAAGTCCCAGTAAATGTAATAACCAGAACTGACTCATACTTACTTCAACTGTCTAGCAATCAGATATAGATTATAAACAACTATGATTGACATGCTAAATAGTTGAAAGTTGACCACATCTACAAAGGATATGAAAAATAAAGATTGTCACAGCATATATGCAAAGCCATGAGAAAGCAGCAACCAAAGTTAATCTGTTCCAGTTTTAGTGACAACTCTGAGGACTTCTGGTTGGAGGAAGTTGGGAGTGAAGATGCTAGCAGAAGGAGTGGCTATATTTGGGGAGCATTTGGAGCTTTGCGTGGTGGGGAGGGAAGTGGTAACCGGAACTTCTGGAGCCACTGAGACCTCAGAGGCCCCAGCTCCTTCTGGCAGATGGTAGCCTCACCACCAGCTCCAGATTCTCACTCAGGGACCAGGCTTCCCTGAGGAAGAAGGAAAAACAACAGCAGAGAAAGGTCCCATCCTCCCTAAAACTGGTTCTGAAGTCAGCACGGAGCTCTGCCGGTGCCTTTTAAATTCCAGGTATATGCAGAGCAGAAGAAAAGAATTAGTGTCTAAGTCTGTTTGGGAGTTAGTTGCTTTACAGGTTTTTGAGAATCGGTTGTGGCTAAGGAATGTGATATTCATGATTTCTCTAGTCAGTTCCTACAAATTAGGAGCTGGAGTTTATCAAATCCTTTCACCAGGGAAGCCTTCCAATACAAGGAACAAACAAAATGTACCACCTTCAAACCCAAAACACCAAGTAACCACACCCTAGGTCAAGACATTCTATTATCAGCCCACCTTAAGTCAAATCTCCTGTCAGTAATCTTGAGTGAGCAAGACTAGGCCTGAGCTCTCTGACCTTTAGTCAAGGCGGAACGGGTCCACTTCGGTGGGTTCTGACAGACCACTTGGCAGGTGCGGCACCATGTTGGCCCCATCAGAGAGAGCCTCCAGATCCTTTGAGGATGCCCCAAAGACTTAGCCATCAGATGCAGCCAGGACACTTCATTGCTCTCTGACCTGGAGGAAGGGTTGGTGACCATCAGGGAGGGCGTTGTCCCTTCAGTACTTACTGGTGTTTCTTCGTGCAGTAAGGCGTAGAAAGATGCCTGGCTTCTGCTGGAGGTGGTGGAATGTCCCTGGAGAATCTTGAGAACATTACCACACCTGGCAGCACTCTTTACTCTACTGAGTCCAGTCAACCCCCCTCCCCTGAGCGCTGCTCCTTGAGGTGCATGTCCTCCTCAACGGCAGCCACACCTGGTCAGGGCACCCAGCACTGTGCAGAAGGGCTGGCTCGCTCCTTTCTGCACTGAAGTGAAGCTGGACTTGTTTTCAATAAGAGCTCAAGTGTTAAAGGATCTAAATACAATTTTTTTTTATAGTGAAGTGGTAAGGACTGGAGAGATGGCTCAGTAGTTAAGAGCATATGCATCTCTTGAAGAGACGCTGAGTTCAGTTCCCAACACCCATGTTGGATGGATCACAACTGCCTTTAGCACCAGTTACAGGCAGCTCAAGGCACACACACACACACACACACACACACACACACACACACACACACACACAACTAAAAACAAAATAAATCTTAGGAATAGAAATAAATGCAATACTTGGAAGTGATGAGGTAATGAACACCTTACTGTAATGCTCAGAGAGCATCATCCTGTATGAAGTGTCAGTGATGGGCCACTCTCTGCAGCTCCTACCCACCCATGCGGGTCACGTTAGGATGAGTACTTTTTCTTAGCCAGACCTGCAATCTAAGCTTTTTCCTTTTTCTGTCTAAGAAGATGAAAACTTATTAGCAACAACTCTTTAAATAGTGTAGTGGATTCATGTGTGTCTCGTCATGGTGAATTGGAAGAACATTTGCCTGAAATGTTCCTAGGAGTTATTATGTAGGTGGATATTTTATAAAATATTCATAAAAGGCAGATATTTTATAAAATACTCTAGAAACTGTAATTTGCGCATGTTTAGTCAAAGGTGTCAGGTTTCATTTGACTTGGGGTTGTTTTCCTTTGATTAGTTTGAAAATCAGTAATTTTCATGAATGCCACATTCTTTTCTTCGGAAATGTATCCACCCATTGATACCGAAGAGATCTTACTTAGGTAGGATTCTGGCATGGCCATCTTTGCTTCTTTTTTAACTGTCCTTTTTGTTGGAACATAACTGTCTCATGTGGATCATTACCCCGCTGACCATGGCATTCAATGACCCAGAATTCAATTCTCTCACCCAAGGGTTTGTGACCTTGAGGTAAGAGAGTGGAAATAATCTTGGATTCTAACCAGCTCTCTGAGATAAAGCATTTTAGACAACTACTGAGCTATTTGTTAAGGTCCAAAGGAGCAGAATATTCAGAGTAACTGCTCTGCAACTTCACACAAGTGACTATAAAATTGAATCCTTGGTTTCCTGAATAAGGAACCATAGGTGTTCATTGTTGGAAATGCATAGGAACTAATGTAAATAGAGCCTATGAAAATGGGGGTAAAACCCCTGTCAATTATTTTGCAAGCTGGAGTACAGTAATATGTTACTTGGGCTCTTTCAGAATGAAGAGAGAGAGAGAGAGAGAGAGAGAGAGAGAGAGAGAGAGAGAGAGAGAGAGAGAGAGAGAGAGAGAGAATAAGAAAATAAGAATTTTCTGCTGGACTTATCAGGGCAGGCTGAGTGGACTTTGTGGGTGCCTTGGAGTACCAAAATACTTGAGTTCCAGGAGATAGAAGGCAGGGCCCTGTTGCCATGCTGCCCCAGAGCTGAGCTTTTGTTTGTTTTTGTTTTTTGTTTTACCTCAAAGCAGGATTGTGTGATTCAATATAGATTGATCAATGGTTCCTTCATGGGGAAAAATTAAAATAGGCCCAACTTCTAATACAGGAACAATTGCAACCTAGGACATAAGGCACCTTATGTTGTTTAAATTTCCTGAGATATTGGTTATTCATTACATGGATGGCATTCTCCTGCTCATCTAATCAATACTCATGATTATTTGATGGTAGAAAAACTAAAAGAGAAAAATTTTAAATTTGGGGGCATGTCAGTGGGTATACTTTTATCTGCCTATTGCTACTAAGGATTTGGTCCCACCCTTTAAGTTGCTTTCTATAAGTTCAATTCTATAAGAAATATAACATCTGAAGCAGAGTGGGTTATTATCATATTAAATCATGCTGCTGCTAAATCTGTAGCACATAGAATTAATCCCTCACTTCCTTATCAATTACTTATCCTTCATTCCACCTCATCATTCACTGGAATTATATATCAACAAAAATAATGGTATTGCAGGAATTGATGCAAGTCATAATTCCCCACAATAATCTGCAACCCTTTATTTACAGAAAATTGTAGACCTAACAATGATAGAAAGGGCAGATCTTAAACCACTTACTGGTAAAGAACCTATAGAAATAATTATGCCATAAAATAAAATGCAGGTTGATTATTTCTTCCACACTGATAATAACTGGCAGGTTGCATTAACATATTACTGGAGGTCTACAGACTACCACTCTCCTAAAGATCCCCCTTTAAGATTTTTTTGAAGATACCCCATGATAGTGTCTAAAATTACTTCTAAAACTCCTATAGAGATTGCTTTTAATGGGTTTTCAGATGTCTCTTCAATCGACAAGGAGCATTTTTTTTTAATAAAATTCCACATGCTTCACCAAAAATATTGTGTCCTCTTGAGCTCAGAAATGAAATTGCCCTGGATTTTAAAGATCTCAAATCTTATAACCTTAAGTTTAAATCTTGAAGTTAATGGCCATTCATTGCTAATTAAGTGGATTTTGTTTGTTTCCTAGTATTGTGCTCACCCCTGGTCTGATAAATGATTAGACTCTGACAAGGGAGAAGGGTAGAGGCTCATGAGGTGTCTATCCTCTAGTGAAAACACGAGTTTTATTCCAAGCTCGTAGTGTGTAATTACTGGTGAGAGATTCTCACATCATCTTGACATCTGGAACTAGGGCTGTCTGTGGTTGGGGACTTCTCTGCTGTCAGGTATGTAGAGACCTGTGCTGGAATGCATGACAGGCATGCAGAGTGCCTCTCCTTAACTAGTCAGAGGACGGCCCCAGGCGTGGCACGGGGCCCAGGAGACTCCAGAAAAAATTAGGTGTTGTATCAGGAACTCGACTTTGTCCAATAGCTCTTTCTGTGTATTCTTTTAAAGACTCCTATTACAAGTAAAAAACTGATAATGATCCTGCTTATACTAGCAAATGCTTTAAAAAATTTTAGAATTTATGAAATATTAATCATGTTACTAAAATTCCTTACTATCCACAGGATCAAGCTGTTGTGAAATACCACCACCAGATACTTAAATGACAAATTATAAAAATAAAAAGGGGTATATATACCTACCTAAATCCCCACATTCTATGCACCATTTACCTATGCTAACTTTAAAATTAAAACATTTTTCACTTTAAGGGATAATGCTTTTTTTCTGCTGCCCCAAAGCCTTTTGCCCAAAGGAGACATAACCTAAAGTTTATGTTAAATGAAAAGATCTAGAAACCAATCAATGGAAAGAGCCTGGCATTCTAATAACAAGGTGAGGTAATGCTCATGTCTTTCCAGAAAATGAACAAACTCCCAGATGGCTCCCGCTCTGATGTATCCATCTGACCAGAGCAGCATCCCGGGGACCACCAGACAAATGCAACATCTGAAGGTAGACAATAAACCCTTCACGAGAAGACACCTTCAGAGGAAGAGAAAGCTGATAACGTGGAGAGAGAGGAATCAAGACTTTAACTCATCAAGCTCAGACTTCGGGGAAACAACAAGGACACTATATGACTGACCCTAAAAGTGATGCTATTATCTTTTTAAGTGTTAATTCTCAGCTTTTTCACGCAGAATCAAAATGCTCTTTTGTCAGGGGGTGGATAAATGACACACCTGTAATAGGAGACAGTATGATATTTTGCCAGGCTAAGGATTGTTTTTAGGCTTTTTTGTTGCCAGTCCCTAAGATGGCCCATATGACTACTAAAACAACTAACTTCACAGCAAAAATATTAGTAGAAATTAATCAAGAGATGAGTAAATTGAGAAACATAGTTTGACAAAATAAAGCTATGGCTTATTTTTCACTCAAACGTAATCTTGGTAGTCAACAATTTCCTGGGGCATGTTACTTTAATGCATGAGCTTTTTCTCATACTATTGATGGTCCAATTGACTTGCATAAAGAGATGGACAAAAATCTCTCAAGTGACCTTTGAATGGTCATCATGGTTAAGATGGCTTTCCTCTTTCCTTGGCCCTCTGTTAGTTATTCTTACAGTTCTCTTATGCTTACCTATATTAATTAGACTAGCCATAGAGACAATGCACTCAGCCTTGGCCTCTATTACAGCCACTGTCTTCTTTAAAAATTAGAGGAGAGAGGATAATGGGAACACAATGTCCTTGTGTTAATAGATAAGCACTAGGAAAAGCGGGGATGTTAAACACACAGGGTTGTCTATTCCGTGGAAGAAATGTATAACCTGTTTCTACCCAGAAGACTGGGAATGGAGGTGGCTAATAGCTTGGGTGACCTCTGTACTATCTGTAAGGCCGTGCCATACCCACCTCTCCCAAGCTCTCCCAAGTGGTTTCAGTGACCAAGACCACATCAGATCCCCCCTCCCCCAGACCATAAGATAAATATGTTAAAAACACATCTTCATGGGAGGTGTGACATACTTTTCAGCTTCTGTGTAATTATGCCTCCTTGTGCATATGGGATTGTGTTACAAGAGGAAATCTTTTTCCAAATTGTGTTGTACTTAAACGTGCCTAAAATAAACTGCCCAGTGTCAGGTTCTAGAAGGTTGAACCAGTGCTAGCTATTGAGTTATGTTGAAACGAACTACTTTATTATCACCCGTGGATAGAGATCCCTGTAGGAAAAGGAAAGAGAGAGAGAGAGAGAGAGAGAGAGAGAGAGAGAGAGAGAGAGAGAAACGAACTGATTGTAGAATTTAAGATTTGTTGATAGCTTTTAATTTTTTCTCTTCCATTATGTTCAAAGTCTGTTTAAATTAGGTCACTTCTCCTTTGTGGTTTAAATGTTCATTTGTTCTGGAAGAATGAATGGGTTTTCCATATCAATTAATACAGCACAGACAATCCTCGCAGGCATAACTCTCCAGGCATTCCTCGAAGTTTCTCTCCGGGTCTTCTAGCTAATTCTGGATTCTTTCAAATTGATGGCAACCATCACACGGTCTAATTGTTCCACTTCTGTTCAGTTTTGTGTTTCCCCATCATCCTTGCTTTTTTTTTCCCCATCTTTAATTTTATTTTTGGACATTTAAAACATCTTTACTTCTAAAAGACTAACGACATGGATCTATTGAAATGTAAGTTTGGTAAACACAGCTTGCATTATTGATTAGGAACACCCTTTCCCCAAAGGATCCGGGAGGAAAGGCGAAGTCTACCCCTCTTAGAGTAAAGACTGGGTGGAGCAGAGCTTCCCCTGGGGGAGTGCTGGAGCCTCATTCAGGTGCAGGAATAGAACATTCCCCGTGTGTTCCTGTGCAGTGTACAGACAGCACATCCAGCATAAAAATCCCTAAAGATGAGCTAAAATATGTATCATTAAAGAGGTACAAATACGGTTAGAAAGTACGGCTTCATAATTCAGCACGGACACTAACCCCAGAAGGTTAGTCTCTTTAAATGTCATTTATTGAAAAGAGCATTTTATTGTCAAGCGATTTTCAGTTAGTAGTTTTATTGCCATTTTATGCCAAAGGTTATCATTTCACTCTTTTATATTTTATATCCAATTTAATATTTGTGAAATGGGCCTATAATAAATTGGAAAATACTACTTCTTTATCACTGCTTTTACCTCTCTGCTGAGATACATTTTTTTCTCTTTTCAGCTCTTCTTTACTAAATTTTTTCTGAAGTATAAAACAGAATTTTAACAATATTAAAGGCATTGCTCAGTGGATTAAAAAAAATGCTTCTTTCCTGTGTGTGGTGACACACCTATAGTCCAGCGCTCCAGAGGCAGAGGTAGGTAGATCTCTGACTTTGAGGCCAGTTTGATCTACACAGTTAGCTCCAGGCCAGCTAAAGACACATAGTGAGACAGTGTCCTTAAGAAAAAAATGTCATTTGACTGAGACAAGCTCAGGAAGACGTTACTAGAATACAGCTTGGGTTAAGAAAGTGATGTACTGGTGGACAGTGAGCTTAATGTGCACAGCATGCCCAACACTTAAGAGAGGAGAGAAAGCCGGGTGATGGTGGCGCACGCCTTTAATCCCAGCACAGAGGCAGGAGACAGAGGCAGGCGGATTTCTGTGAGTTCGAGACCAGCCTGGTCTACAGAGCTAGTTCCAGGACAGAAACCAAAAAGAGAAAGAGAGAGAGAGAGAGAGAGAGAGAGAGAGAGAGAGAGAGAGAGAGAGAGAGGAGAGAAAGCAGGCTTCTGTGGAAGGCTCACAGGAGATGGGCAGGCAGCCCTGCTTTCTGCTGCTTGGAACAGTTGAGTTAAAGGATTCTGCTGAGGGAAACATTCTGGGAGGAGATGGAAAAGGACTATGGACAAAGGTACCCCCATTGGGAAGTAGCATAAAGGCGAGGCAAGACAATGGTCTGAAAGTAGCCAAAGAGCCACTTAAGCAGAAGAATATGTGATCTTGGGCTCTGTTTATCTGTGGAGCTGGAATTCTTGTGCACATATCACAGGGTGGGGCTAACAGTGTGATTTGGTGGTAGAGCACCTGCCTTGCCTGCAGAAGGCCTTTGGTTCAACCCCCAGCACCAAAAGAGAAAGACAAAATGAATAGAAAAGGAGGAAAGAAAGAAGCAGGACGTGGTGGCTCAGGTCTTTAATTCCAGCTTTCCAAAGACAGAGGCAGGAGGATCTCTGTGTGTTCAAGGGCAGTCTGCTCTGCACAGCTAGCTCCAGGCCAGCCAGGGCTGTGCAGGGACACCCTGTCTCTAAGAACAAAGCAAAACAAAAGAAGTCAGAGCGAGTTGTGCTGTGAGCTAAATAGACTGAAATTATATTCTGTCAAATAGAGCTAAATAAGAATAGGCTATGGGCAGAGGAGACGGTTCAGCCAGTGAGGTGCTTGCTCCATAAGGATGATCCCAGGTAAAAAGCCAGGTGTGGTACTCTTCTATAACCTCAGCCTGGAGTTGGTGGGTGGAACTCATTCTGTAGACCAGGCTGGCCTCGAATTCACAGAGATCCAACTGTCTCTGCCTCCTGAGAGCTGAGGTTAAAGGAGTCTACCACCACTGCCTGGGTCTCCATCTTATTTGGGGGGCAAAGGGAGTCTTGGATAGAAATTGAGGGGGTCCCTGTAGTTTTATAGCCAGCTTCATGTGCTCAAAGGTTAAGCTGACAAAGGGGTAGAGTTGTGCTTGATCTTTGCCGTCAACTGATTGGATGCATTTAACTAAAGGGTGAAGACCCATCATGAGTGTGGGTGGAACCATCGATGGACTGACGTCCAGGACTTCACCCCTTTCTCTGCTTCCTGGCTGTAGACTCAGTGTGGCAAGCTGCCTCAAGCTCCTGCCGCCAGACCTTCCCTGCCCCGATGGACTGTACGCTTAGACCGTGAGACAGAATCAACCTGGCCTTTCCTCAAGCTGCGTTGGTCCAGAATTTTGTGAGAAAAGTGACTGAAACACACACTCACTGGCTTCCATAGTAGCAGCTTTGGACAGAAACAGGCTAACGGTTCTTGATACTGAAGTGTATTTACAAAGTGACTCCAAGGAAATCTTTGTTAGGTGAAAATTCACAACTACTCAAAAGGATGAAGGGATCAAGGTTTCAAAATAATTTGTCCAACACCATGGAAAAAAGTAAGAAAAGTTGGCATGCATAGTATTTTAATATGCAACTTACTGTCCCATCCCTGAATATTATTGTGTCAGGTAGAGTACATTACTTTTAAAAAATATTTATTTATTATGTATACAATATTCTGTCTGTGTGTATGCCTGCAGGCCAGAAGAGGGCACCAGACCCCATTACAGATGGTTGTGAGCCACCATGTGGTTGCTGGGAATTGAACTCAGGACCTTTGGAAGAGCAGGCAATGCTCTTAACCTTTGAGCCATCACTCCAGCCCCGAGTACATTACTTTGGAAGAGGTTTAATTAAAGCTCTTTCCTTTTTAAGTTACCAGAATATATGTTTAATAAAAAAATTGTCATAATGACAAAAAGACCACTCAGTAGAGCACAGGCAAAGGTCCTAGGAGGGAAAGACCACCCAGTAGAGCATAGGCAAAGGTCCTGTGAAGGGGAGACCGCCCAGTAGAGCAGAGGCAAAGTGTTGGGAGCTGTGAACCCCCCAGATCCTGAATTTCTTTAAACACTTATTTTCCCCTGATCTGAGTGCCTACAGCTGCTCTGAGCACGAGACACTCAGGAGTTCCTGATGGCAGGGGAATGGTTTCTGGTGGGTTTCATTGGGGCGTGGCTATCCCTATATAAGCTGCCCCTGGACACACTAAAAGGGAGCATTCTTGGAGCATTCTGGAATCAAGGATGACCTGTGTCTCTGTCTGTGAGTCTTTGTGTGTTTCGGTCTCCAGCCCCTTGCCCAGTTCACAAACTGTATGGTGGCACATAGAGCACAGACGGGCATGATGCGCTACAACAAAGATCCCAGGAAGGGAAGAAACTAAAAACATTAATGACTTAAACATACAGGAATTCAGAGACAAGCAACATACAAAACAAAGGTACAGTGAGCTATCAGATTGGCAAGAACTAAAATGCAGTTGCTAACTGCAAGACGTGGTGTGGACCAATGGAAACTTTCACATGGCTGTTGGGAGGCTACATCGATACAACACTCTGGAAAAAACATTATGACATTATATAATAAAATTGATGCATTTATACTATGACTGAGTATTAATTAAAGTTCTTAAAGCTGCAATCAGTCTAAGAAAATATCCTTCTACCTTCTAGCAGTGTGATTCCAAACAGCAAAATAATTTGCCTAAGTAAACTCAGATACAGCAGGTAATTGTGGACTTTGAAACTAGGTCTCCCATTTATTAAGAATTTATGTATCTCATAAATTCTTTTAATTGTAATTTTCAAACTAAATATATGTTGATATTCTTTTTTTTGTTTTTGTTTTTGTTTTGAGACAGGGTCTGATGTGGCCTAAACTGGTCTAGAATTTGCTAGATAGTCAGGGTTATTCCTTGAACTCCTAATGCCCCGTTCTCCTTCTCCTCGGTGCTAGAATTACAGGTAAGCATTACCACAGCTGACTTAAATATTCATTAACATTCAGATTCCAATTTAATTCTTGCTTTTTATAGAAACCTCAGAAAATACAGAAGTACAGGAACATATACAGAAAGGATCATCCATATTTCCAGTTCAAAGAACAGTTGCTATGCTAATGATGCTTTCTACCCAAGACCACCAAGACCCATGACCAAGATGGGTGTGTTACTCATTACTATGAGGATGTCATGTACTGTGGGGAATCACGGGGTCTTTAGGTGAGAGGGACTTAGTAAGAGTGTGTGATAGAATTTGCACCTTGGTTGAAGGTTCTGAGAGAGAGCTGAGGATGAGTGGAAGGGTTTTTGCTCCATGTTGGCTGCTGTCAAATGCAGGGCAGTTCTATAACTGGGTATCTATGTAAATCTTATTCAAAGGAAGGCCATTTAGAGTGGGGATGAAATAAGAACTTGAAAGAAAAACATTAAGTCATCCTGTTCAAGAGAAATGCATGTTTGGTACTATAGAAATAGTGCATTAACTCCGTTTTTGTCTTCTCTACGTCCTTCTCATTGTCCTCCTCCCTCTATTTCCTCCTGCTTCACCTCCTCTCCTCCCTGTATTCATTTCTTCTCTAGAGTTAAAAGCAGTTGAGAACTGCTTGGTAGGGCTGCTGGTAACTGAACCCAGGTCCCCTGCAAGAGCAGTAACTGCTTTTAACCAAGTCATCTCTCTGCCTCCACACATATTCTCTCCTCTCTTCATCCTCTTCCATCTGCTTTCTTTATGTTGCTTATGATAAAATCCAAAGACTCAAGCTAATCAAGCACTCTACCAGGAAGCTACACCACAGCCTAGCCTGGTCTCTTCTTAGACAAGATTATGAAGTGTCCTTATTCATTTCATTTTATCCATATCTCAGGGTAACCTAGTCTGAGGCTCAGGAACTGGGTGTCATGCCAGCTCTTTGTGCCCTTTCCTCATTCATGTATATTTCCAATAAATATTTAATAATCAGCGCTTTATTCAATAGCTGCTTTTGCTTTTTCCATTTTATGTGTGTGGTGTGCATGTGTGTTTTGCATGGGCGTGGGTGCACTTGTGTGGACTCTGAGACTGACATAAAATTCATCCTCTCTTGTTCTTCCATTTTATTTGTGTAGGCAAAGTCTTTCAGTTAAATCATATCAGTGATATGGCTAGTCTTGTTCTAACTAGCTTACTCTGGGGATCCCCTATCTCGGTCTTCCAAGGCTGGAATTACAGGCTGGCTGACAGACCTACCTAGCATTTATGTGGGTTCTGGAGATCCAAAAATCAAACCTTAAGCCTCTGATCCTCCTGTCTCCACCCCCTGAATGCTGGGATTACAGGGTGCCACCGTACCCAGTTTTTAATAACTGTTATTTAGCAACTATTTATAACTGAGAAATGGGTCAGAATGTAGTAGAGAAAGCACACTCCATGTTTTCCTGGGAATTATATTCTACTGTGGAAATAAATAAGCATGTTGAGAAGAACAAAATGCATGTCTTTCCTCTGTCCTTACAACAATCAACAAGGAAGACTTCTGTGACCTCAAAAGCAAAGGTTTTTTTTTTTTTTTTTCACCAGGTAGCAAGCAATTCTGCCATGGACCCCACTGTGAATCCCCTAATCCCTCTCAGTTCTGATACTATGTAGTTGGAAATAGTGTCAGGTCCCAAGACTGCTTCGTATAGACCTCAAATGCTAACCACAAGCCCTGTGTGGTTTGGCTTGTGTTTCTAATCTACCAACTATAAGTTGGAATCCGCACATCCCTCTCTGCTGGTTTGATTAATGTGATGGTTGATTTTAACTCCAGCTTGTCACAAATTAGAATCACCTGGGGTGGAGAGCCTCCCTTGCAGAATTTGTCTTAATTGATTAAAAAAAGGGCTCGGTGCACTGTAGGCAGTACCATCCCTAAACCACGCGCCTGAGCTGTATGTGCAAGACCGATGAAAGCAAGGAAGCCAGCCAGGGTGCATCATTCCTCCACGGTCCATCTTTCAGTTCCTGCCTCCAGCCTTGAGTTCCATATTGGTTGCCCTTGATGACGAACTGCAACTTTTAAGCCCCAAACAAAAAACAACTGCAAAACAAAAGCAAACAACAACAACAACAAACAAAACCCTTTCTTCCTCAACTTGCTTTTGGTCATAGTGTTTTTTTGTTTTGTTTTGTTTCAGTTTGGTTTGGTTTTTGTTTTTTGAGACAGGATTTCTCTGTGTAACAGCTCTGGCTGCCCTGGAACTCACTCTGTAGAGCAGGCTGGCCCAGAATTCACAGAGATTCTCCTGTTTCTGCTTCTCGAGTGCCAAGGCTACAGGAGTGCATACCACCAGCCAGCCAGAAACAGGAAACCTAACTATTTGCTTGAGACTCTCATAAAACTCATGGGAAAGCAATGTTTCCTGGTTCATTATAATGCACATATATGATGGTGGGCACGGGGTGGCATGCATGAGAAGGTACATGGCAGTCCCCTGTGATCAATTGTCTTTTATGAGGACTCAGAACACAGGCATGATACATGGATAACTCTGTAGAGATGTGATTGGAAAAGAGGGGTGGGAGTTAGCGCTTGTCAATCACATTGCTGACTGCTAGAGAACCACAGGGAGGCCTATTTCATCACTCTTCCTGGTACCTGTGCAATGCTCCTCCCTTCAGGAGTTGGTTCAGGATCATCTGGAATGGCAAGGATAGGTCAGGAATGACCTTGTCTTCCCTCCTTCCTTCCTTCCCTCCTTCCTTCCTTCTTTCCTGCTTGTTTTCTTTCCCTCCCTCCCTCC